GTTATAACTGCACTTTCATGAGGCTACAGACTTTGGCAGTGAAATAACATCATAACGTGCTACTGGCCTTGAGCGCAGTGTTTGAGTGCTTTCTTGCCCCAGGTGTTCACATGATTCAAATATGTGTCCCGTTGTTTGTTGGATCATTATTGATACTGTTATTTAGCTGATTTCTTTCAGAGACGTTCTCTTAGCAAACAGCCTCCACTCTTCCGGGCGCAGACGTTTAAGTTTGGTGTCACCGAAGTCGAAAGAAAAAGTGAACGCAAAATAATGTACAGTGGGGTCAAAAACTCTGAGACCGCTTTCCTGTTCACTTGAATGAGAGATGAAAAAGGAAATGGCCCTACATTAAGGACACAAAGGTCACCGATGTCAGCAGGAACTCTGAGTGCAGGAACCTCCATATCCAGCCACCCACATGCCCACCTCAGGCATCTCCCGTCCCTTCTTACTCTCTCTCATTTGTTATGTCTGCTCTCTCACCCCCTTAACCCCAGCCACCACGCCCGCCACCCCCCCCACCCGCCCTCTCCGTTTTCCACCTACGCTTGGGCCCATTAGGGCGATGGAGGGGAAACACATTCGCAGGGCGGAAGGGAAAGCACTCTGAGGACATCAACAACTGGAAGGAGGAGGAAATGACCAGGAGGGAGGAAAAGGGAAAAGAGGACAGGGAGAGGACAAGGACGAGGAGAGTTTCCCTGTGATGGGAATCAGGTGATAAGAGCTGACAGGAGGAGTAGCACTGGGGGGCTCCCTGCTTCGAACCGATCTAAACAGGAATGACCCTCACACACTCTCACACGCACATTCACACTCCACTACCCGGTGACTCATGTACGCACACTAACAGACCTGTACGATAAACCTCAGCCACCAGAAGGAAGTTGGATCAACCAATCACCTTGCTTGAGCACATAGGGCCTGCACAACTTGCTGGTGCGTTACCCATAACACCCTTCTCTGCATAGGTCTGCAGAGATGTAACTCCAGCTTTAATCAGCTGCACTCACACACTAAAAACAACACACACACACACAGAGGCTACAACAAGCTACAGGAGGCATTGAGAGGGGATGGATGTGCATAAATGAGTGTGTGTGTGTGTGTGTGTGTGTGTGTGTGTGTGTGTGTGTGTGTGTGTTCCATTTTAACACATTAGCCAATGCACCGACAGTGACTGAGGATGTAAGGGAGCAGCGATCACGGCGAGGACACAGCTGATGTATATGTATTAAGTGTGTGTGTGACGCCGGAGTGCAGCGAGTTAGTCAGTGAGTTAAACAGGCAGGCACAACTCCAGCTAGTCTATTATTAGAGCTGCGGCTGCTGCTCCCCGGTCGGGGGCCCCCAGGGGGCCTGGGCATCGGCACGTGGATTCCTGCTATTTCCCCATCTCTCTGATCTCTGTTCCTCCCCATCTCTCTCTCTCTCTCTTTCTCTGTCTCCCTTCAGCAACACGGGGGAAGGAGGAGGAGGAGGAAGAGGAGGGAGAAGCAGAGAGGACAAGGAGGAGAAGGAGCCAAATCTGAGAGAGACCCTGCTGTTGACTACACAGCAGTCTCAGGTCGAACAGGGACCACAAACAAAAAAGAAAAAATTCTTAAATGTGATAAATGAGGAGGTTTTTTTTTTTTTTGCACACATAAGACAGAAAGTTTGTGCACTTATCTGCAAATGTCTCTCAGTTTCTAATCCATCTCCATCTTTGCTGCCAACTAGTTCCATCACTTGTCATTCAAGCAAGGGAAGGAGCAGTGTGACGTCTCTCCTGGGACGCTCTCGTAAGGAAGTTGCCGTTTCTGTGGGTGGCGCTGTTTTCTAAATCTGTTCAGCCTCGGTGGATATCACTGCTCACGCCAAGTAACGACTTATTCTCCTTTTCGGCTGAAACTGCTAGACATGTTAAATGTGTCACTTCCTGTGTGCCAGACGGCTTTAGCAGAGAGCTAACAGATTACATTTATATTTGCTATTTAAACTGGCATTCAAATATAAACGCTTTTCATGAACTGCGCATAAAAGTACTTTATTTAATAGATATTTACTTTACTTTTTATGGCTTGCCTACATTTCACAATTTACCAGAAACGATCCTAAACAGTAAACCCATCTATCTGATAGTCCAGGCTGGTTGAAACCAGTGGCCTTCCATTCATCTACACAGCTCCACGTTAACATCACAACATTTCAAGTCATGAATGGCTGTTCTGTCGTCCTGTGTTTACTGGACTCTTGAACCAAAACCACTTATCTGACTTGGCCATCCTCTCTCTAAATGACTTCCACTTGGCTTGGTCCATTCATGGCTTCGCTCCCACACAGCAGCCAACGGCAGGGAAAGGAGACACTAAGAGAAGTAGGGTGCCATGCTACAGAGGAATTACTGCCGCTCCAACAGGAGCTGTAATTTATATACAGTTAAATTTGAAAACATGTTTTTTTTTTTGTTTTTTTTTAAATCAGTGATTTATAATAAAAGGATAAGGAGATCATTAAAAGCGAATACTTTCTGTTGTTCAGTCCAAGTATAAAATCACTTTTTTTAAGAACATATGCCATCCTCCAACATCAGTCTGTCAGCTGTGCAGTGAACTCAAAAGACTTTTACGCAACTTGACTTTGAGCCTGAAGGAAAATTAAGTTCACAGTTTCACTTTAGAAATTCTAACCGTATCATAAGAAGGAAACATGCCTCAGTTTCATCTGTTTATGGATACACACACAAAAGAAAACATGAGCACACACTGCATACTGAGGGTATTTATATTAAACGCTACCTTCACTATTCAATTCGCAATAATACACTGATTACAAAGCACAGTGATCATCTTGCCCACGTCTGACTAAATTTCTTCTTTTTTTTTTATTATTCATTGAGCAATTGCTTTAAGATTTATTGTTATGATTGTCTCATGGTGATCTGAATCAGTGAATAGAGGTTTAAAGCTTTTTTGTGATGGCTGGATAAGTAATATAAAGTGAGAGCTATATTATTAGGTTGGTGCCTAAATATTAATATCCAGTTCATATTATTAAATCATGGTGGATGGATACAGCACCTGAGTAGGCCACACATACACGTGAGTCTTGATAAAGCTCTATTTTGGGATCATTGAACGTCCTGGTGTTCTTGCTCACAACAGCAGAGGGCAGTAGTTAGCTGTGACTTCTGTGGGATGCTGTGTAGAAAGAGAAAAGTCCTGCAGCAGCCTGTAGCACCTCACAGGACGCCCAAACCCTCCACCCAGCGGCCAACGCAGCCTCTTGGTATAAGGCTTCGTAAAAGGCTGCAGCCAGACCCTATTGTGTAAAAAAAAAAAAAAAGGGGGCTTCCACTCCTATGACTCAGGGACCACACTTGAGACGTGAAGCATGCGCTGCAACGTTTATGTTGCAATAAATGCATTTTTAAAATCTGGGCAACAGATTCAGAGGATTCATGCTTCTATTCTCGTAGAAATACACAACTAATTCTGATGTAGTTTACAGCAACCATGAGTAAATTACTGCTCTATCAATCTATAGTCTTTAACATGGCTGTGGATAATATTTCACCCCCCCCCCCCCCAACCTTGCATCTGACCCAATCATCCTCACTTCTGTATGTTAAGACCCACCTACATCAATCTTACGTTTCTACGTCTTTATCCAGAGTCAGCATATGTGGAGTAAGCGGATAGCACTAATTCAACATCCAGGATTTTACCTTGCAACATAATGTGAACTTGCAACTCAAGTTCAAGACCAGGTCACTGCTGTGCTGCCCCAGATGGGCCCTCAGCAACAGTAAGAAAGAAAAACTACAGAAATGAATGGTATGGAAAACATAAAGTGGCATTTACAAGGTTGATGGGTCAAAAGGAAATACAAGAAGGAAACTTAAACAGTTGGATTCATACAGTTGAATGTGAAACAATTTGAAAATTATGAATTGTGACCCTGAGATTTCACTCCTACTGAACAGAAACGCAGCTATAGGGAAAACTTTGAGATACATTCACATTTTAACCAAATCCCAAATTGTATCAATGCAATCTCAGAGATGTTGTACTCTGCAGTTCTACTGTAAGCTACAGAAGTGTATGATTAGAGCAGTGGTTTGCTTCTGAACGACATAGTGCTGAACCGAAGTATTTTCAGGATGACATTAAAGTAAAAAGACAGACATGCGGGCGGTGTTGCTTTCTACTGGCATCACAGCATCTCTGTGTCGTCCTTTGAGGTTTCAGTGCAGCAGCAGGATGGTATGAAACTTTATACTGGTCTACACTGCCACCTGGTGGTCATGTGACCCCCCCACACACACACACACACAAATAGACAACTTTGGCTGTTGATGTGTCTCATAAATGGTCACAAGAGTTTTTTGTTTTTTTTACAGGCACAAACTTTTCATTTCAGCCTGTAAAAACCATCAAAATAATTATTTTCATATGATGACTAGCAGCTGGATAACGCTCTCCACAGTCAGCTGTTCATATCACACAAACCTCTCACTGTTTATATGTTGTGAACTTATTAACTATGTCTATAATGATGGATCAAGGCTCCCTGATTCACTTTGAGCTTTCATATTTCACTGTAGGCATACAGAGTTACGGTAGGAGGGGAAACAAAGTCAATGGACCAGCTTGTGTGAAAGCCGCCCACTGTCCTCTCACCCCTCAGGAGCAGACAGCTGCTTCTGAGTTGATGTGGACCAAACACGCTGGATGTTTCAGTGGCGCTTACCTGCTGCTCACATCATCCACTTTTGATGTGGATCTCCAGTAAATCCCAACGTGCGCCCAGTTAGCACACGTTACATTATCTGCAAACAATGTGTAACTGCTGTATGCTCCTCAGTTTTACCCCCAAGACACTGATTTCCTTTTGCCATTCAGCGCACGTAGTCAAAAAAACTGTAACATGAATAAATAATCTTAAGTGTTTTTTGGATTTTGGATTTGTTTTCTTGTGTTGTGTGCGACTTTAGACTCAGTGTGCCATCTTACCATGGTGCTGTGAACAGCTTGGCCCAGCTCTATGACATGCGGATCAGCTGACTGAGTGTCTGCCACTGTTGGACTGATCTGTGGAGATAAAGAAAAGTCATCCCTTTATTTCTCTTCTACATAATTTACTGAACACACAGATGTTATGTCAATATAATACAGCGGACCAGGCTGCTTTTACTACTTGATTTTATTCCTGTCAAGTCGTACCTTCTTCATGTTATTTTATATGGTAAATGATGTTGTGGTTTGTAAGAAATACACCACATAAGCTTGTATATCACTTTGGTTTTAGAAAAGCTTCACTGGTATTTAATCATTCCACACAGGACTCAGCACAGGCTTTAATAACTTCATAAAAATAACATATGGATCATTTTCATTAAAGAATTTGAATATGAAGCTGAGTAAAAACTGAACTGACCTGAATGGCGGTGGACTGTGAGTGATGAAGGTGGGGTGATTTAGGGTGGATGTCAGACAGGTGAGGTGGGGGATCAGGGGTGGACCGCCGGCTGTGCTGTTGCAGAACATCCTGGTAGGATTTGGTGTCAAAGTTTGTCCTCCACATCAGCACCTAGGGAACCAAAGGACCAGCACAACATCTATGATCCAAGTCCTTCATACTTTCTTCCATAGAAACTAAAAAGGACAACCTTGAAGTTACAAGCTGCTGAGAGTTATGGGGAACACAGAGTCATTATTGAGCCACGAAACACCAACCTGACCATCAGCTCCCCCCGAAGCAAAGAGCTCTCCAGCCCTGGAAAAGGTTACTGCGATTACAGCACCCTGAAAAAACACAGCACACACTGTTAGTGAATAAAAACTCACCCTGTCAACCGGGACTGCCTATACTGTCTGACAATGTCTGACTGGTGTCTGTGGGCGAACTGAGCTGTGCAGTAGCACCACCTTGTGTCCATGGAGGGTGTAGATGAGGCGTCCCTCCAGCAGGTCCATGATCTTCACAGTGCTGTCACTTGAACCAGTGATCAGGTAGTTGTTTGATGGGTGGAAGGAAAAGCTATTGATTCCTGCACTGTGCACTGATGCAGGAAGGTACAAAAAATGCCAGACAGACAGACAGACAGACAGACGGACACACACACACACACACACACACACACAACACACACACACACACACACACACACACACACACATTAAAAGTAATTCACTCAGGATAATGTGCAAACTAATTTCTTAGCTGACAAACTGGAAATACAATTACAGGATCTAGGAGGAGATATATATCATTAATCAAGCTCTGACATTTTCACATACCCTGATAATGCTGAATCAGCTTGTTGGTCCGTAGATCCCAGAGTTTCAGTGAACTGTCAGCTCCTGCAGATGCAATACAGGTGCCGCTGGAGTTGAAATCAACAAACGTTGCTGATCTGTAATAAACCAAAACACTCAGTGGAGTCAGTGACCTGCAGCAGGTTAACAATCTACTGTGCAAATAATACACAGCAATGCCACCCATAGGAGAAACAGAGCAATAACTACGCTAAATCTCTTACTGTAGCTTTTACATCAATTTTGTGACACCTATTTTTAAAATTTCTAAATTCTGTTCAGTGATGTTTTTGTCTTTTGTAAGAAATCAGAATCTACATTGTACACCTCTAGTGATTCTACTGTTTGGAAATGTACAAAAAAGGAAAAAAAATATATTGCTCAGAGTGGAAGTACAATTACATTAAAAAAATGTATTTAAAACCTAAGAAGAGTAACAGGACACTCAAGCAGGTTGTTTCTGGTACTTACCCTCCATAGTCGGTGAAACAGTTGATGCAGTGTTTGGTGGATGTGTCCCAAAGCCGAACTGAGCGGTCGTCCCCACAGGAAGCTATGAGCCGCCCATCTGGAGAAAACCTGCAGGAAGCAACAGACAAAAAAACAAAGCATGATGTACTGTTATACAGTTACACATACCTACACAGCCCGGCTGTGAAGACCGGCAGATTATTGATACTGATTCTGCACATGAAACAGCACAGAAAACAAATAGAGTTCAACTACATGGAAATGTGCATATTCATTGCCTATATATGTAAAAATTATTCAAATAAAAATTCAGTTTGTTTCGGAGTCCTTCAGCAGGTAAGACAAAAAGATAATTTCACAATGTAACTATATAATAGAAATCAAGCTTTTTTCACCTTGATTTCTAATATGTAATTTATACACACACACACACACACACACACACACACACACACACACACACACACACACATACGCATACTAATGCTGTAGCTAGAGAGGGTGCTGACAGTACCTGGCACAGCGCACCCAGTTCGTGTGCAGGTTGAGGGAATAGACGAAGCTCTGTCGGTGCACGCTCCACACTTTGACCGACTTGTCATCAGACGCTGTCACCAGTCTCTGGCCATCCTGGGAGAAAGCGACGCTGCGGATGGTGGCAGTGTGAGCTTTGAACACTGTTGACTCTCCTTTCCTTTGTGACACACACAAAAAGAGCAACTAATTTAAGGCCAAGCCTATGTCAGTCGGCAATATATGTTTTCTATTTTTTTTTGTTTTAGATGTCATATCACTGCCCACTTATTGTACTTAGTGAACAAAAAAAGTCCTGATTAAAGCAGTAAAAGGGACTTTGGAAGCCTACATGGAAGGTGTCCACAGTCGGACTGTTCTGTCCTTGGAGGACGTTGCCACCAGGTTACCAAGCGGGGAGAACTGCACCCCAGTGATAACATCTTGGTGGCCAACAAATCGGAAGGCCCTTGCCTTGGGAGCCAGATTCCAGATCATCAGGCTCTTATCCACTGACCCCGAGGCTGCAGGAAGACAAAAGAAAGATGAATAGACAAATTTCAGTCAAAAATTACAAAATACTGTAAGTTTTGGTCACTAGAATCAGTATAGTTCCCCTGCAGGAGAACTGTAGTAGATTTAACTACTGGTACTCTATACAAAAGGTTATTAAAGTAAATAAAATTAACTCCCTCCCCAAAATTGGAGTCATAGGTTAAACTTCTGGAAAGGTCAATGAGTTCATCAAGAGCAACAGCCCACCTTAGGGTTAGAGTAATGTGAAAGTTCATAAAACTTTATAAAAAGTTTATGAAGGCAGATGAATAGACAAAAGCTGCTGTGTATTGTCAGTTAGTCCCTGCTATGTACAGTATGTTGAGCATGATAATGACTGCCATTTCTATACAGCTTTACCTGTACTATAGGGCTTAACATGCTCAACTGTGTAGCTTACATAAAGAGTTGCATGATTATTACTAACTCACTATATACTCTACTATTACTACTGACAAATAACATCTGAAGATCATCTGTACATTTGTAATGCTTATAGCATCAGCAGGTATTACCCAGTTGTTTGCAGTTTGGACTGAAGTCTGCACAGGTGACAGCATCTTTATGCCCCTTGAAGTGTCTCTCTAGGGTGGGATCCTCCTGCAATGACAATCTCAGAAGTTTTAATGGTCGAAATTTTGTTTGAAAAAAGTTTAGAAAGGGTGTGGTGGTTGAAGGAGGAAGCCTTGAGCACTGTCTTGAGCCTTGAGCACTGAAAAAAACTGTGTTTCACCTCATAGTTGTACCATAAAAAGCTCTAAAGAAATAAGTCTGCACTATGGTTGGAGGTGTGTTGCTATAGTGCAGGGCTGGGCAGGGACGTGCTTTGGGACACTGCCAACCTGACATAGTGTCAGTGTTTACATATAGCATTAAAGAGACATTACACCGAGCAAAAACCTCAAGAACTGGAGGACGTCACTTAAACAGCGACCAACAAGCAAGCAACAAGCAAACTATACTGTAACGACTTAACAGAGAAGACCCAAGGTGTTTTAGACAGCCCCAATCACCAAATCCTCTTAGCAGAGAGGCAGCTAGCAAACTCGCCGACTCAGCTACCATTAGCATCGGTGTACGTTTTCAAAGCACACACACTTCCCTCATTTGCCTTTATGAAAGTGTCATTAAAAGAAATAGACTTACCAAAACAGACGCCATTGTGGGCATTTGTTGTCTTTACAGACCTAATGTTGTCGGGGGGAAAGTTGTACCGCCTTCCATTACTGTCAAACAGTGCGCCTTCAACAACTGTCTCAGACCTGACCTGTCGAACCCAGATACCGCGGTGTTCCGTTCCGCAGTCTTTCAATAATATTACCTGACTTTTAATTTCGTTAATGCTAATTTAAAAAACTGACTTGTGTCTTTGCAATACCACGCAAACAGACCCGCTATTTCTACCGCTAAATAACTAGCCACCTGTGGTTTGATCTTGTGGCAGAGAAGAGAGTGGTGCTGCGTTCAGGAAGCATAATAAAATGGGTAGATACGAGAATTAAGAAGCCCGTCGCCAAATATATGGAATATCAGCAAAATTCGATTCAAATAAAAACAAACTAAGAAAACAAAACATAAATATTAGGTTATGGCATTTGATGAATACGAGCGATCAGAGTTTGCGATCGCCAAGTGGCTGCCAACAGGCCAGGAACTTCAGCTATGTTATCACCCAAGGTAGTTCCCGTTATTTTTAGGTAACTTGAATGTAACATGTCATGAAGGTGGAGCGTCCTCTGCTGCTTAGCAACTAGCCAGTCATATCATTTGCTCTGGTGGGAAAGGGCGCAGTATCAGCATCACTGATTGGTCCATGCAAATGAACTGACGAATCAGCGGCGAGACTGTTAAACTTGGAAATTGATGTTTGGTATTTCGGTTTGAAAGGATGTCGCTCAATCGGGGTATCGGCAGTGTGGAGGTAATGCTAGTAAAATGACAGCTTTAGTTATTTTATGTACCTGCTTACTGCCAATCGTGCATTATCGAGCATATCATGTACTGTGAATAAAGCGTGGGGCCAACAAAAGCAGACGTAGCTTTCCTAGCTAGCTAGCTAGTTAGCTGTCATCAGTGTTAAGTTACCATATCAACAGTGCACCTGTAAGGATGATAACGTCAGTTAAATAGGTTAGTTGCTCTTTCTAAAAGCTGTGGGAAGTCTAACTTAAAAAACTTTAACTTTTGTTACCAATTCATTCCTTCTGTTTATATAGCTAACGAAAATCAACGTTGTCTCTTTCCTTTCAGTACATGACAAAAAGAATACCGAAAAACGCAAAGTATCAACATGTCAAAACACGGTTGGACACAGGTACCTTGTCCAGATACACTGTCCTTACCCACAATAATACATAAGCCAGTGCCATCTCACCTATACATGCATTTTGCCTCTTAAATACATTGTTGTTATGTTTCATTTGGTAGGATGCAGCCTTACGAAGTATATGGAAAGACTGGAGGACATTAAAAAAAGTGAGTAACTTGTTTGAAAAGGGAACCAGGAGTGGCAAGGAATATACTTTAATGCCCCAGTGTCCTTGTATTAAATTATACAAAACAGTTTCCGCTCTGTGCAGAGGTGAACAGGTGTAACACTCACACATGATTCAATCCCAGCAAACTAATCCCTCCTAAGGTTCTTTTTCTTAGAGTAAAGATGGTGAGAATTGTATGCTGTACACTTAAGGGGATATTTTTTCAACTTGGCACCTAATTTTCCCATGGATCTTTGAGTTTCTCTTTGCTCTTTGCCCGTGTACTTCAAGAGGTAAACCAAAGAAGTCCTAACCCACTGATATTTCCCAGTTAAATAAGTTCTTTGTGGGCACAATTATTCCTCTGTGGGACTGGATGCAGACTTTGGGGCCATGCTGCTCAGGTGCCAGCAAGGGTGTTTGAGAAAGTTTGAGCTAGTGAGGTCACAGTGTGCTTAATACAAGTATCATTAGCACTGATAAAACTGAGTCTGAGCAGCCTGATTTTGGTGAAGTTGAAGGTGTTAGCTTTGGCTGGAAGTTAGCATGGGAACAGACAGGGAAGAGCTGAGGTGTGGTGAAGCAGTAGAGGTGGATCAGGAGAAGGAGGACCCAGGTGAGTTGTATATAGTACGGTTTCATCATGCAATGGCTGATGTAATTATCACTATTATTAGACCATTGGTTAAACATTTAATGTGCAAAGTTATCATCTTCAGCTACAGTGGTCATTCTAAATTTGATATATGAATGCTGTCTTCAGGGCTGTGAGCCTAATTCTTCCTACAACCGTTATTAGATTTTTCTTTTTTCCTTTTTCTCAGATTATAGATATCGTAAAGATGAAATCTTCAAGCGGTTAAAGGTGTCGACATTTGCACAACTGGTAGGCATCCTTGGTTTTTTTCTTGCAATACTGGAACATCCTGCTAGTTGTATGTTGTAGTAAATGGAAAGTTCAGCCCACAGCTATTTTTGTGGCTTATATTTTGGAGGTGACTGAATGAATGCAGTGAGAAAACCTGATCCGTTTACAGTGCTTAATAATTGATAGTCTACTTGTGTGAATAGTTCCGGACAGACAGCTCTAACAAACCATTTAGCTTGGTTTGTTACCTTCATTTACTCTCCAGGATGCCATTCTCGTTGCATTTTGCTTCCAATTTCTTAGCAGTTTTTCTTGCTAGTACAAGTGTTGTTGATTTCCAGACTTGTTTTTCTCACCAGATCCTTCAGGTAGCCTCAGTGTCAGACCTGAATGAAAGTGAGAATGACGGCCCAGAAGGTAACACAACTGGCAACATTACTTATTCACTTAACATTATTAAATATTATTCATCTTCATCTTCATACAAATTTGGGTCATTCACATTACTTGTACTGGACATACCATCAAGTATGTTAAATGGATTTAAGTCTCTAACAGCAGGTGACAATCTGTTAATTTCCCTCTCCCACTCATTTGCAGACGGTGTGTCAGTGATGTCTGACGCGGACTTGGAGTGTCTGTCTGAACACACCTACGGCTCCATAAAGGTGTCACCTCTTTCAGATCGCCAGGATGCAGGTGACGCCAGGGATATCTGCTACACTGCCAGGTCAACACTGCTAAGGTACTATACAGCTTAGAACCCCTGAAAAAGCCTTACCCCACACACCATATTACTCACTGTTTGGTTCACAACCTTTATCCAAAATCCAAAAGAATGGTTTGTTTGCAACCACAGTAGCTGGTAAGTTACATCTACAAATTCTGGAGGTGTCAAAGGGGTCAGTTCCCCCACATTACATGTCCTCTACTAGTATCTTGCCATGCAGATGGTCAGGTTTTGGTTTTATGTTTCCAGGTTTTGTCTCAGAAATCTGCAACCAGTATCTAACTGAGAAAATTAATTTTTGTAATCCTTGATCACTTTTTTTGGGCTTTTGCTGCATTGTATACATAATAGCTATAAAGTCTTTAACACCTGTACAGTGTTGCAAATACTCCTTAACACTCAGGCACCCCAGCATCCAACAATTATAATCCCTAATCACAAGAGCACCAGTAACCCTACACCCAGCATATCTGTGTGTCTGTGCCCCAACATACTGTACATCCACTTTTTGTCCCTGAAGACATCTGCCTGTCCTACACGCCCACCCTCCTGTACACCGCACAATAACCTCCCTCAATCTGTTATAAGCGTCCCCTCCTGTCACCTGCCCCCCCCCCCTCCAGCTTCAACTGGAACCCCAGGAGTGTAACTCTATCTGGGATCTCTCCGGGGGGGGGGGCAGACTGGGCCGCTTTAATGGCAGAGCTTTTAGGTCACGTTCACCTTGTGGGTAGGGCAGACTGAGAGAGGAAGTAGGGCAGCACTGGACTGAACCTGATTCACAAGGGGGAAGTGGTGTGTGTCTACAGTTGTTTGGCTGACTTCCATAACAAGATGTGCTGTAGTGAAATCAGTGGGGGTAATGATATATTTTGATTATCAATTTATTGTTTCAGTCATTATTTTTTCAACCAAAAATGCCTCCATTCACAGGTTGCAGCTTCTCAGATGTGCAGATATAATGATTTTTTTTTTTAATATTACTTTTAACATATTTATTTTCAACATAATATTGTACTGTTATTTTGAAAAGCACAACTTCAAGGACTTCAATAAATGGTTTAATGATGGAAAACTATGACAGATATAAGATAGAATAAGACTATTTGAATAGTCCATTTCAGAAAAAAGAGAAGAAATCAGACTAGATAACACCAGCCTCTCACCTTTGACCCCTCACAGTGTTATCAGTGGCGTGGGAGAGCTGAACCTCGACAGGAACAGTCACAAGTTGGAGAATGAGGTGTCCAACCTGGAGCTGGCTGACAGACCTTACCCTGACTGCCCCTACCTGCTGCTGGACGTACGGGACCGCGACCAGTATGAAGGCTGTCACATTATCAGCGGTACGTTGCAAGAAAATGAAACTGAGTTGTCAGTCACCGAATGGAAAAAAAAAAATTTATCAGCCATGTTTTTTTGGTCTTCCGTACAGCACAAAGTTTCCCCTCTGCCACGCTATCTCGGACAATGAACCCCTACACCAGAGAAGTGCTGGAATATGTATCCTTGAATAGAAACTACACAAAAACGTTCACCAGTCCTCTTCTTTAGAACTGCAGTTACGAATGATTTTTGTCTCGTATGAACTTAACCCGCCGTGTGTAGAAAAATGCAGCAGGGAAGATCATCATTGTGTATGATGAGGATGAGAGAATAGCCAGCCAGGCAGCCACCACCATGTGTGAGCGAGGATTTGAAAATCTGTTTATGCTGTCCGGAGGTAAGATATCGTTTCACTCAAGTTGTTTAATTTACTTCCTTGAAAAGTAATCTAATCCATAAAGATTATCAGTGCTATATGGTTGTAGTCGTCAGTGGGACTAGAGCTAACATTTGAACGATGGGATTCCCCAGGAAAGCATTTTATGGGAATATAAATTGCCAAAATGCTGCCTTTCGTGTCCAAATGTATTTCACCATAATTTAATAGTAGTCAACTCATGCAAAATGCATTTCACTCATCTATAATGTTAAACTAAAATAAAAAAGAAAGATATTTATATATTAGAAAATATTTGAAGCCATCACTGTTGCAGGTTCAGTGTCTAAGATGAGCTATCATCCCACTCTGCCGTCCTCTCCCAGGTCTCAAAGTAATCGCTCAGAAGTTTCCAGAAGGGATGACGACGGGCTCCTTCCCAGCCTCGTGCCTCTCCACCCCCGCGTCCCTGAAGGGGAAGAAGAGCTCCGTGCAGCAGCAGCAGCAGCAGCAGTCGGCAGAGAAGAGGTTGCGGTTTTCATCAGACGAGCTGATCAAGATCCAGGAGCAGCTGGAGGAGATACACATCCCATGTAACAGTAAGACCACGCCGTCAGAAACTCTCAAACACTCGGCCTTCCTGTTGAAAATAAAAGCAGTGGTAAGGGATTGTTTTAGATGGCCGTGATTTCCTCATGAGATGATTATTTATAGGAAAGTCCCCCTGGAAAAAAGTATGGAATAGTAGTAAATAGAGACAAAGTTGTGAAACAGTTATTTGAGTTTTGTTTGTTGTGTAGAGTTAATTTCATTTATGTGTTGTTGGAAACTTTATTCTCCACGTCTGCAGCTGACATGCTGTGCACAAAGACGCTATCAATTAACAGGATATAATTGATTATGAATTTATCACTTGAACTTTTTCTTGTGGAAGCTACAAATGTCTCACCATTTAATTTAATATCCTTCACTATCGTTTACGTGTTTTGTTTTTTTTTCTGCAGGTCGTATGTCCAGCCGCATGTCCACCATCAGCTCCCAGTCTAAAACATCCAGCAGTCAGAGTCGACAGAGTTCCTCCACCGCAGGGAGGGACGGCACCAGGGTTCAAAGCAGCAGACCCTGGAAATAACCCCTCCCACCCTCAAACCACAGTCAGACGTACACAAACAAACGTACCTCCAACACAAAGTCCATTTATTTCAGGGTCCGCTCCATCCCGTGGTCCCATCTGCAAAATCATTCCCCACAGTCAGAGGTGGACAGGAAACCCCTCAACTGCTTCATTACAGCAACTAGAGATATTTTCCCGAATCTCACGTGTTTCTGGCGCCGTCCACCATCTTTCCTCTGACGCAGAGGCGGAATATTCTTCTCAAGTTTTGTGTTTTTATGTTTAGGAAATTACTGCACACACAGCCTGGGAAGTAATAAACACTACGCAACGATAAAGAAATTTACAAATAATCTTCATCTTCACATTTGGAGATTTATGTCCGACTGTAGTATTTTCCCCTTACTAGTTTTTTTTTCTTTATTTCTTAAAATATTTAATAAATTGTGTACGTTTGCACGGTGCCTCATCTGTGAATCTGAAAACTGATGGATCTGATTGCACTCAAATTCCTTTTTCACCCCAGAATGAAATTCAAATTGTGATTTTTTTTTTTCTTTTTTCTATTATAACTTCATTATTTCCAGACAGCTCACGTCTCATTGCTCCATCAGTATAAAAGCCACCGAATAAATGACATTCCTAGAAGACTTAGAATTTTATCGCTGCAGACATTAGAGTTGAATGTTGATAACATGAAGGGTATGCTGGGGATTTCTGTAGTGCATGAAGTGTATTGTTTGTATGAATAATGTTACAGAGCTGGATCCATTTTGTAAAAAGAAGAGTTGTGCTGTATTTTTGTAAAATGCGTCATACTATCTTATTATAATTCCTTAACTGACAGTGCACCAACAGCCTTTATGTGCAACTTACACACTAATGTTACTGAGACTGGTTTGTTTGTTGTTTTTTGCCTGTGTGTGTGTGTGTGTTTGTGTGAGGATCAGAGTACTGTACGTTGTGAAACTGAACGATTGAGGCCTTCACACAGATCGCAGCGTCACTGAAGGAAGGAAACGGACGTTTGGTCGCGCAGCACTTCAGATCCCCCAGATACATTTGAAATACAGTATTGCTAATTTGTGGCCTTTTGACTTGATTCACTCACAGTCACCTATGAAGTGCATGGAATGAAAAGATGGATCTCTTTTTAGTGATTAATGTTGTGTTTTCATCATCAGTCTTAACCAGCTGATCTCATGATTCTGTCGGTAAATTAATGTTTAACAATAAAGTAGATGATTGTTGTGAAATGATGAATATCAAAATCTGAGTTAAAAAAGGGAAAAAGATGAAAGCCTCTTGGAAACAGGTGGAAACTCTGATTACACTTTTAGACTTGTAGTTTATTTTTGTATCCACAGTGACTCAGCCCAAAGTGAGGTCAATATAATTTATTTTCTTCCACCCAGTGTTGGATATCTTTATAAATTCAAATGGGATTGGCATGAAAAGTGGCAGGATCAGAAATATCAAACAAGACAGAAATAAAGTTTCACTCTGTGCCACACCCAAAGTTTATGGTGAGAAAGGCAGAAGAAAAAAGTGTGTAACATTCTTTGAATTAAAAAGACCTACAGATAATAAAAGACTTTTCTCCAGTGTGCTGTTTTATTCATCTGTTAGTGGTTTTTCCATGTAGTATAATGATGATGGTGATATTAGTTTTGAGAGAAAGGTAACAGGTGACATTTGCCCATTTTAGTATGGGTTCCTGTTGGTGTGATCCATGATGGCCATCAGAGCCAGCCAGGTCTCCCTGGCGGTGGGGATGATCTGATTGGCTGGCAGGATGAAGCCGTAGCGACCGGTGTCCCTCAGCTCAAAGGTGTAGGAGTACTTGATGCCCTGGTTGTAGGTCCAGTCAATGGTGCCACCACTGGCTTGGTCTGCAAGTGAAACGGATCAGGGGACAATCAGATAATTATCTGTAGAAGGAGTTTGGTGCTGCACTAGTGGAAAAGAATGAAAGAGACGATATGGCAGACAGCGCACACTGCTTTTTTTTTTTTTTTTTTTACTACACTACCTGTGGACTACAAACGTGTTAAAAACAAGTTTCCTGTGTCAGAGTCAACACGAACTCTTGCACTTAACACTACTGATGTTAACACATACCCACATGACAACGTCTCCAAGCTGCTGTTTTTGTCAAACCTAATATAGGTACAAATGTTGTTGCAGTGTTTTGCAGATTTGTGACTTTATTTTGAAGCTTTTGAGTACTTCAGCACTGTGCAGGCCCGATAACACATCACCTAAATCCCTGTGCTGATAATCAGTCACTCTGCTAAACTGTATTCTGTAATTTCTATAGTCATATTCTAATAGAAATAAAAGAAATTATATGCGTTATGTGCAACACTTACAGATGGTGTTGATGATGCTGCCATATCTGTACCTAGTACCATACAGGGAAGCCAGGTCACTGATGGCCTTCTTAGCCAGAGCGTGCTGTAGAGAGAGAGCACCATGGTATCACATGAATATCTGTTCATATTTTCTCATATTGATTTTGCATATTCTAACATTTCCATCACCACATTGCCCAGTTTGATCTTGCGAACCAGAACAGTGCAGTGAATAAAGTGGTGGTGGTTTTTACCAGCTCGGCCTGGTCCTTGGCTGGGGTCCTGGTGTAGCCGTAAGGATACAGGAGCATCTGGGAGTAGGAGTGGATGGAGATGAAGGCCTTGAAGTTGCCATGGGACTTCACAAAGTCCACGATGGACTTGACCTCGGACTCGGACTCAGCCCTGGGTCCACGGTAGGTCTCGGAGCAGGGTTGGCCGCTGGCACCAGGTCCTACACAAGACAACAACATTTAGAGGAACTGCAAAGACATGTCGCTGTCTACAAAACAGCTTCTAAATTAAGATAACTGAGGTATGAAGGATGGATATTATAGCAAAATAAATAAATGTAAAAAATACAGAAATCTTTTTTTTCCCCATTAGTGTTTTTACTTTGCATTTATTTATGTATCTAATTATTTATACTGATGTCATTTTTCATCCCTCATAGACCATAGTGTGATTCAAGCACCAAAATATTTGTTATTTATTATTATTATTATTGTTTTGTGTCTCATGAGATCATCCTGTTTAAAGCCACTTTGCTGCCACCTGGTGGCAGCTTTAAGAATGACACTTGAAGACAGTAAAGCTCCACAAAAGCAACAGCTACAGAAGTAGGCGAGGTGATTATTTAAATACATTTCATTTGCTCCAAACCGTAACAAAATACCAAAATAACATAATATCTTATGACTTCAGGAGGTTTGGAGCTTTAAAAAATGATCACTGAGAATGACATTGGATGTAGATTCCAGTGACGAGGGGGAAGACGTTACCTCCAAAACCAGCATTCCAGTTCCTGTTGGGGTCGACTCCGACACAGTTAGAGCCAGAGTTGGGCTTCCTGGTCTTGCGCCACATACGGTTCTGGAAATGTCAGAGTAAGTCATCACAGTATTTGTTTGATGTTTGTCCACTTGTCCACTGATTATGCTTCTTAATATTTTATCATTGCATGTATGTGCTTGTGACATTAGTATTTGATCTGTCTTTGCATTGCTTTTCTGAGAGTGTTTGGTCATTGATATTACCATCGCTACCAATTATGACTTCTGTGTAACTGATATTGAGCTACTATTCTAATACATGTTAACATACATGATGAAAAACTGATAGGAAATGATTGTAAAACCTAAAAACGTACGCTGTTGTGGGTGTAGTAGTAGCCATCAGGGTTGGTCACCATCTCCAGGAAGATGTCCATCTGGTCGAGGATGGCGGTCAGAGCGGGGTCACGTCCATAGTCAGTCACAATCTGATGACAGAAACGTACAGGACACAATGTTCAGTGCAGCAGGTGAATGGTCAGAAGCTGCAGAGACACAGAAGAAAAACGTATTATCTATCGATTATCACCTTCTTGGCGAACCAGGTGCCGCTGGCCTGAGTGACCCACTCTCTGGAGTGGATTCCAGTGTCGATCCAGATGGCAGGACGGTTGGTTCCACCGGTGCTGAACTAAGACAAAGAAAAAGTTTCAAAAATTTAATGCAAAGAATAAGTGATAAAACAGAACATGTATTTTGTGTTATAATATAATATATACTGTTTTTCCCATTCTCAACCTGTGTTTAACTTAACTATGGTGCCTTGTGAAACACATTCATTTGTTTCATTTAGGGTTTTATTTACCTTGAGCACATTCAGGGGACGGCCCTCGTAGCTGCGACCAATCACAATCTTGCTGACCATGTTGGGATTCTCAGCCACCAGCATGTCCTGGAAGCTGTAGATCTAAACCAGACACAAAAACCGTGATCATAATACATGAGCATCAGTCAAGTAGAGTTTGTCATTTTTCTGTTTTGCACTGTCCTGTCTTTAGCGAGTAAAAATCTGTTTTTGAAGTGTTTTCTCAGGTTGCAACGTAATTATCCAGTTTCTATGTATTTACGAGTGAATCATGCTTTTACAGTATAACAGTTGGCAGGGTGAGCGTGCATGTACGTACCTCGTTGATGGTGTGGTACCTGGAGAAGTCAAAGCTGTCAGTGTTTCTGGGCTCAGCGACGCGAGCAGCAGAGTCCATCTCCTCCTGCTCCTCGTCCAGCATCACCTGAACACCAGTGAACAGTGATATCGGTCGGATTTCAGTCCGACATGGGGGAAAAAGCAAAGCCGGCTAACTGCTGTAATTGTCAGGCTGTTTGCAGGTCTCTTACCTGCAGGTCCTCAATCATGATGGAGTACTCGATCTCCTGGGTCTCCAGGTAAATCTTGGTGGACTGCAGGCTGTGGAAGGGAACTCTGACGTCCACAGGAGTGGCCGCCTCAGTCACACCCCTCCAGAAGTCCAGCTGAGAGAAAACACAGGTATCATACAACTAATTAAGTCCGGTTATAAAGAAAGGGTTGTTGCTTATTTAAAACTTTGCTCTTTCATTTTACTTTCCATTTTTATTTATATAAGTATTATCAGTGAGTGACAGATGACCTCGAACTCGATTATGTCCTCCAGGTCCTTGATAAGAGCCAGCTGGACCTCATCCTTAGGAACAATGCGAAGCACCTGATGCCTTCAAAAGAGAACCACAATGTTTTACAACTTTTTACTCAACTCAAGTTTTCAAGAGAGAAGTTGGCACACATGGGGTGAAGTAAGATTTCTCGAGGCTGGTTCTGCTTATGCAGAAGATGTAACATTAGGACGGAGCGATGATTTATAGTGATCGAGTTATAAAGATTGTAGTATTGTAGTACTCTTCAGCCACCCAATGGGTTAGTCAGTAGAAACTCATGCTGTGCATCCAAACACCGCTCAAACCAAAAGAACTTTGAATTCTAGTGCCTAAAGTTTCCAGATTTATTGGGCTTGTCTTGGTTGTGAATATTTCACAAACAGACAGTTTCAATGAAAAGCAGCAGCAAGCAGAATATCAGACAGTCTTGAGTAAGATTATTAACAACCTTAAAGCTACTAAAGGGAAAGTAAAGAGGGGAAACTGTCTATTAACTAGTTAAAGAGTCTAGATGAGTGTATAAAAATCAATGAATCAGTTTATAGTTTATGCATGCATTCAATTAAAAAAGGGAAAACAAAGAAATGTTATTGTAGGTAATGCATATATACATACAGTGGACTGACCCACACACAGCAGTGAGAGGCCTTTGCAGGTCCACTTACCCCTCAAACGTTTCCTTGCCGAGAACGGCCACGAACAGCGCGGCGAATGCGAGCAGCCCCCTCATCATGACCAGCAGTGTGAGACCAGCGGGGCCCATAACAGGCTTTTATGGCCGAGTGTCTCGGGTCACATGTCCAAACCACGACCTTGCTCAAGGTGATGGAGGTGTGTCAGCAGCTGCTTCCTTTCCCACTTCGGTCTGGAGATATCAAACCAAAACTTGCACCACGCACCTCAGTGATTTTGACATTTGAAGCTTGGTTCAGTTTTTGAGGTCTGCTGGCGTCGGACTGGTTCTGTGTAGGATCGTATGGAGAGAAAAGTTCTCATTACTAATTAACCTTTTGATTATTTTTGCAGCACTGATTAATTCGCTTAGTTTAAAACAAAATGATAATAGTGGGAAAAAAATAAATAAATAAAAAAACATGTTCATCACAAGTTCCCAGTTTCAATGTGACATCTTCAAATTACTTGATTTGTCCAACACAAAGTCCAAAACCCAAAGCAATTAGCAAACAGCTAATCCTCTCGTTTGTGAGGATTGGAAACAGAATGCTTAATAAATAAAGCTGTTTATCAAAATTCTTATATTCATTTCCTGCTCAGCAGCTCTATTCATTTACTAATAATTTCAGCACCGATAAAAACCATGTCATTATATAAAGAACTTTATGGCACAGAAAAGGGTTCTAGCAGCTATAACTAATAGAAACACAAATCTTTTCCTCCTTTTTATCAAAAACAGGGTCGTTTTATTGATCTTTTGTTGTTTGCTGTAGGTCATTGGTTCAACCGGGGGGCCGACAAATGAAATTAAATGGAAAAAAATATCAAATAATATATCAAATATAAATAATGTTTTTAAATGTTATAAGATGAAAAGATTTTGTCACTTCACACTATTTTTTTTTTCCTTGAATTAAGACCTATCACTGTGATAAGCCAATGATAGGAACTTTTATGTCATCACCAGCCAGATTACATCATGTACTTATTTGCTATCTCAGTCTGATTACATCCACGGCAAAAACTGAAGTACGAAAATGATCGAGAGACAGACAACAACAAGTCATCTTTCCCGTCTACACGTTTCCTCTGCTTTCAGTTCAGTCCTGAATGTCCCATTTTTATCATTAAAATAAGAAGTGCTGTGATATTTGGCCTCTGTATTGTTATGGTGTTGGATGTGAGCCGCCAACACTGCTCTATAATCCCACCAGGAAAATAAAAGAACTGAGCAGTCGACATGATGTACTGATTTACTTTCCGTTTACAGAAAGGTGGACTCTTGCTGCTCAACAAGAAAACATGGCCGTCCACTGTGCGTCTCGGCTTCCTCTTTGTTGCTGTTGCAGCAACACTGCACTCAGGCTGCAGAGAGGCTTCAACAGGCTAAATGTAAACCAGCTGCTGGGATCCATGTACTGTGAGCTCTACATGTTACAAACACTTCCAGACATGAGACAACTTGAGATGTCAGAGTGCAAAAATTCACATCTGGTGCTTTAGCAGCGTTTTATTTCAAAAATGAGGTATCCACCCAAAAATGTGATGCCAAAGAGAAAAACTGTCATCAATGTAGAACTCACTTCTGCTACAGAAACATTCACATGACACTGGGTATAGTCACAGAGAGTGTTTGAATGTCCAAAAATGGACATCAGATAACAATTTTCAGCTATTTTCAACACTAAAATCCAATTACTTCCTCAGTTAGACACAGTCTCATGTATTCATTTGAGCATGTAATCATTTAAAGCCAGTTCACATGACAGTAAAAGTAAAGATACTTGATGTTACTCACTAATACGACCTCTCTCCAATGTACATGTCCCCCAGAATCTGCTTGTTAGTCTTATGCAACACACCGCTGATAAGGAACCTGCAGAGGAAAAGTAAAGAGACAGAAGCCGAGCAGAGTCAGGTGTGTGGAAATCACCTGCTGGAGGGTTTCCCATTCACAGAGACTTAAAGTGAAGCAGAGTGTGTTGGTCCACATGTGCTCCTACCTGCCTGGTTAAAGCATCTCTTAACGCTTCAACTAAATGAGTAAAAATTCCTTTGATGTCACTGTGAGACAACATTTTGAGAGTGTATAACTTCCTCATTTTGGTGCATTGTTTTCTGCTGAAACATGTGGTTGGGGGATGTTTGCTGCATGGGAGGGGCAGAATAGAGATCAGTCATAAAAATATATCTTGTGACATACACTGATCTAATTAGATACCATTCGTCAGGAGGTAAAAATAGTCTGACTTTGATAGGAATACAAGAAAAAATATATAGGCTATATATTCAATTATCTACTAAGCAGTTATCAGATGTATATGGAGGAATGAGGGACACTTTGGTTGCCAATAGACCAACAACATTTTTATCTTCTACTGATTTTGGCTGAATGAAGTCTAAAGTAAAGTCTCTGAAGTATTATTATTCACTTGGATGAATAATGGTGGTAAATTTGCTGGAGCTGCTGAGTTTTAGACATTAAAGCTAAACTGCAAAACTGATGGAGAATATAAAATGACATTTGGGAAGGTCTGTGATTGTGTTGTTGTTGCTATACAGAGAAAATATGTGGGAAAAAAAAAAAGGAACGTATTATCTACTAAAGTGATGGAGTCAGAGAGCACAGACAATAGAGACAAATATTTGGGTTGCCAGGTTACTGTACAATGATTGACTAGTAACTATAATGAGAGCACAAACACTGTCTTGGCATGACTTGGACACATAGGGGCACTAGTCAAAACTAAAAAAAGGATGTAGGGAGGCAGCTCTTCGTCAGTGTCACTGTAAAGTCACTATTGTTATAAATGCTTGATCAAGTCCTCAAACTTTTCCCCAAAATAGATCGTCACTGTGCTCTAATGTGACTTACTGGTGGGTTTTGTTGATCTATGGCCCCTTCTGTAAAACATCAGCTCTACTTTTTTAAGTTTAATCAGTAATGGGGAAAGACTGAAGTCGTGGTTAAAGAAAACCTGATGGTAGGAAATGAGATGTTCATTTGAAGTTTCTTTTAAGCTGTTTCAGTAAATGTCCACTGCTGTATTTCTCACAATGTGCACAGCATTGAGTGACATGTCTTGGGGCAGGTGTATTTTCATTTTAGGCCGAAGGTGCCACCTTCAGTCTAAAGCCAACACTAGGCGCTGCCTTAGCGCACAAGAAAATTAAGCAACATTTCATTTTTTTTTTTACCCTCCATCCTACAGGTAGATAAAATAGTAAAAGAGCAGATTAAGGCTTTAAAGGATAGCCAAGTCTGGTTTAAAACAATAGTCTTGTCTCTTGCTGTAATCATGAGTCTCACTATAAATTATATAGAGAGCACATTAGGAAAGACACTTACTGTCCAGTATGAACCAAAGGAATGAGTACAGCCTGAGAACAGTTTCAGTGTTCAGATGAGGACCTGGCTGTTGTTTTCAGTGCACTCATACTGCTGCAGCCACTCTGTCTGGTTTTGCACTGATAAGGTGGGTGTATTTTTAGGTATCATATCATTATTGTTAATTATAACACGGTACAATTTAAAATGCCTTATGATTCATCCATTTTCTGTGTACATGCTAAACGCAGAAAAGCCCGTCTTTACACACAAACACACACACACACACACACACACATCTGTCAGAGAGTTAATAGACACTAAAAAAAACCAAGGGAACTTTTGTGCTACACATGTTCATACCAGAGAGAAGAGATCAGACATCTCAGTGAAGCAGTGTGGCTGAAAAACAGCACATACACTCAATCCAACCCTGCTCTCTGACAGAGAACAGCATCTGCCCTGTTAGGGTGTGTGAGGGCATTATTTCCTTTGAAAAGGCCATCAGCAGGTCACACAGGAAGCTACTAACCCCCAGTTTCTTGTCGCTGAGGCAACAGCAACTTTCAAAAACTGTGAAACAGGACATCACAAAACAAACCAGCGACAGTTTTTATGGTTTGTGTCCAAGGATTATTTCAGGTCCATGCATGAAGTGTAATTCTTCTGCAGTTGTTGTATAATGAGAAATGCCAGCTTGTCATGCCTAATTTCATTGTCCTATTTGCGCTAAGTGCAAATGTATGTGTACGTTCGTGAGCTCGTTGTTCATTAGCGATGCTGCCTAAACGCTGTTAACGCTTTGCATGTGTTATTGTCACACTGAATGAAGATGTGCAATTCAATTCAGTGCACCAAAGCGTCAGTTTGTTGACCCCAATTGTTATTTTGCATTCTTATGAAATTGTTGGATTCATTCATCAATGAACAATGCCAGCAAGCTACCCCCTCCCCTCTGTGTCGCATTCTGTTTGTACCTGTTTTTTTCTCCCCAATTAAAAAAAAAAAAAAAAAAGAAAAAGAAAAGAGGATCAATGAACAATGCCAGTAAGCCAGCTGCTAATGCTAGAGCTAATGAAAATGGGGCGGGGGGTCTATATGCTGTACGTGCACACGTGCTTTGCCACATCATCATTTATGTATTGTATATGATTGTTAGCATTATAATTGTAATCAACATCATTATTGTGGAGAAGCTAATTCTGATGATCAGTACTAATGGAAATGCTAGCCCACCATTTTTATTTGCAATCTATTGGTAGCTGCTAATGCTATCAAGCTAGCACCCACCCCCCTGTGTTCTGCTTGTCTGTTTTTTTCCACAATAAAGAATAAAGAAAAAGTTAATGCTAGCTGCTAATGCTAATGCTATCTACTAATGCTAGCAAGCTAGCCCCCACCCCCTGGTGTTCTGCTTGTCTGTTTTTTTCCCAAAGAATAAAGAAAAAGTTAATGCTAGCTGCTAATGCTATCTGCTAATGCTAGCAAGCTAGCGCCCACCCCTTCATCCCCAATAAAGAATTTTTTTTAAAAATGCTAATGCTAGCTGCTAATGCTATCTGCTAATGCTAACAAGCTAGTGCCCACCCCTTCTTCCCCAATAAAGAATTAAAAAAAAAAATGCTAATGCTAGCTGCTAATGCTAATGCTATCTGCTAATGCTAGCAAGCTAGCGCCCACCCCTTCTTCCCCAATAAAGAATTAAAAAAAAAAAAAATGCTAATGCTAGCTGCTAATGCTAATGCTAATGCTAACGAAAACGGCGGCTAG